TCCAATTGATAGTTCAGCCAAATACTTTTGATGATGATCATTTTTATGGAATGTGAGAAAGAGAAAGAAGAACGAATGAAAAGTTGCATATAAACCGAACTAATTATTCATTACTTTTGAGATCGACATTCGATCTCAAGTTCGATAATTCTCGATACGATGCTTTCGTTTTGTTTTCGAAAGGATTGTGTCGGTATAATCTCCGAGTGTCTGTCCTATTCAATGACTTTGTATTGTATGGATTGACACCTGTAGTAGTTTTCATAACAATGCGCACAAAAATAAATGCGATAAAAACAAATCCGTAAATGCATCAATATTTACCGATGAACGTCTCGAACATCTNNNACACCTGTAGTAGTTTTCATAACAATGCGCACAAAAATAAATGCGATAAAAACAAATCCGTAAATGCATCAATATTTACCGATGAACGTCTCGAACATCTGCTCTTCAACAAATATTCTTTCAGATTTTCACAATGAATTCAATTTTGTGCTTTTGTCTGTGCGTTGAACATTTTCCACGTTCCTCATTTTCAGTATCGTTTTGGTTTATATTGGATGATTTCGTCGAGATATCATCACAACTGCACATTGCGTTTCGAAATTTCTGTATTAGGTTCATTGAAGGCGCTGAAAGAATTGATTCGAAAGAATGTTTTATGGAGGAATAAGCCATGTACACTCGAAACGTCTGCGTGTGCACAATTGTGAATGCATGAAATTGAATGCAGAACGGTGTTATGAATGTAGATCGATGAATTGCTTCTTATAATATTATGCATATCACACATGCATAATAAAATGAAACTGATACAGCACTTTATTATATCATCATCATCACATTGAGCTTCCTTCCAAATGACATTATTTAGTCACATTTCAAGTCACTTCACAATGGTGTATCCGCATTCATCTGCACCTCATTAACCCATTTCCTGCGCGTAATTTACCAATACTTCGTAAAGTATTTCGCCGCCAAGTACCATTAGAAGTCTTTTTGAGTGAATATTCGTGCGAATGTAAGAGAATGTGGATCGTAGACAGGCAGCATTGTCTTTCGAAATTAATGTGCCCACTGTAAGGATGTATCATAGGGTCACATGTGAATTTTGTTTCAAGCACTTCTGTATCGAACAGTAAATGACTGAAGTATATTCATCATTTTCGAGATATGATTTCATTTGTGAAGAATGTGTTGAGTATAAAAACTTGACAAAACCGAATGGATGTATAAGAATATCATTTCTTCTGACTTGTACTGATAAGAATAATTTCTTGCTATGTCAATCAGGGTGATCGTTTTGTAACTTTAATATTCCAATCTTTTCAGGTGCTGGCTTCTGAGATCACACCACTAACAGGAGCGAATCCGTTTCGCTCGGAAGACAATCTCGCTGGGAGTGCCATGCGAACCCCGTCTTATCTGAGAGTGAGTTGTGCGCTGAACGGTTATCGACAGTATCGTCGATTGAATACAAGCGGCACCCCTTTGAGAAGTCCGCCGAGTGCACTCCCGTTAAGCAACGTCCAACGACGTCTGTTAATCTTCAATTCGCCTGATTCACAAAGGTTCATTTTTTGAAATGTTTTCAGTTTCATTTCCATTCTCTCATCTCTTCAACGAGAAATTCATTTCAACAAATTGTTCCGATCCGTTTTC